AAAATGAAGGTTATGACAGAAAATCTGTCGCTCACTCTCCCTCTCTGTCTTTCACTCACACAGACACACACCACCACCATCAACTTTGCTAAATTGCTAATGAAAAACACTGATCAGGCAGCTGATTGAGCAGCAATGTCTATCCAACTATTTTCACGGTTGTTGTGGTCGTGATAATTTTGTGAGGCCACATCGAAAAGGCTCGGATGAGCTTTCCAAAGTTCTACAAGTGCCTCCATCGCTTGTGTCCAGATCACACGCTGCACTGCCGTGATGCGCCGTCTTTTTCGCTGACATTTATGTGTTTGCGCGTGCGCAGTGTGAGAAGCTTCGGTGACACCCTCACGACCAAGCGATTGATGATCGGGAGCTGGTCGTGAGGTGTTAATCGCTTCTCGTTACCCCACGTATACTACACGATGCACGATGAAGGCCAAAATCGGGCCGATCACCAAATAGGTCGCACGACTCAAAAATCGGCTCAAAATGGGCCAAAAAGCGCACAGTGTGAGCCCAGCATAAGCCCATCTTAAATCGTCCCCGTTTCTTGTTTAGGACTCAAATATGACAGCTCCCCTGCGCAGTTTAGACATTTCAGAAGCTGAGAGTATTAACTCTACAAACTCTATAATTAAATATATATTAGAACAATGAAGCAGCTTATATATATATATATATACACACACACACACACACACACACACACACATATATATATATATATGTGTGTGTGTGTGTGTGTGTATAGATAGATAGATAGATAGATAAAACTGTGCTCCTTTAATAGTATTGTTTCTTCCAAAGAACACACCTCAGCCATGATGTGGATGTGTGTTGCTGTCTTCCTGCTGTGGATGAGGTCGGGACGGTGCACAGACAAGGCCAACACTTCAGACCTGATTGAATACACAGCTGTGGACTTTTATGAGAAATTGCATTCTGGGAAGATGATGTTCATCTATTTTGAGCATCAAGGTAGGCAGCTCACTGCTCATGCTATCTCAGCTGTGCTGTTGTACATTTGTCATAGGTCCCACACTCCTCATTATCAGGCTTGTGATGTGAAACATGCAAGCGTGCTGAACAAGTGTATTTTGATGAGTTCAACATGCTAATGAAATTAGCAGCCATGCTGACGTGACGTCAGTTTACTGAAATAAGGAGCTGTGCAGCATTTGTGCAGGAGAGCCATCTCTTCTACATGAAGAGATGAAGAAGAGCTTTTCAGAGATTCTAGATGATGCTGGAGGGTTAGAAAGACCAAAATGACTACCAGAACATCAATGTGTTGTTTCTGGCTGTGCATAAATAGTGAGTGACATTCTGTCTGCTAGGGCCCTATTCCAGGAAGCAGGATTAGCTAACATCTCTGGGTTTGCTTTCACCATAAATAAGGGAAACTCTCACTTTCTGTTCCAGAAAGACGATTAAATTAAATTCTGAGTCAGTTGCCAGGGTAACTGTCTCTGTGAACTAGACCTGCTGGCAGGCTTAGTTCACAGAGACAGTTTCTCTCCGACTCCTCCCCTCCTGAACCAGGTGACTGACGCTTTGATTCAATTGCAAGGTAATAAAGTTGCTGTCAAAGCTCATGTTATGTTTTTACAGACACGGAAATACCAGTTTTACGGGAGTTTGCTGTTTTGTGTACTTAACATGAACACTTTCCCAGTTATTGAGTCATCAATATATAATGACAGGGACAGTGATCACTTTTATTCATAACCAGCTCACAATCAATTCTGTAGAACCCACAACTCTAACTCTGTGTGTGGGCAGTACTGCAAACATTTACTGTATGTTACACACTGATCAATGATCAATTATTAGTCGTGCTGTAATCGGTCACACGCTGGATCTTGCAAATGATGTGTACATTTGAGTGAAGCTGAAGCTGAAGTGGCTTTAAGACTCTAAACTGAATCAAATGTATTTAGAGTGATGTTTTCAAAGCAGCTACAGACAGTCTGATTGTAATCCAAACACATTTAATGTTGAAATGTGTTCACAGATTGAGATTCAGTCATTAAATGATGTCAAACAACATTTTTTTTAAGGTTTAGTTTTTTAAAAGTTCAGTTTAATAAAAAAAAAAAATTCAATCTTTAATACATGTAAATGTGTAGCATAAGATGAGTAAGAGAAAATTCATCATACATTAAAACGTGTGGATTCAGATTAATGGAAAGCAGTCCGTGTCTGAAAGGCGTTTCTCTTTGTCGCCTCCTCTGTTTCCAGTCTCTCCGACCATCTCTCTGTTCCTGGTGGAGTTGGAGAAGTCTGCTGAAGCTCTTCAGGATTATGGAGTACTAGTTGGTAAGGTAAGTGTAGCCCCCTGTGAGCGCTGCGCTTCATCAGTCATTGAAGTTGATGTTGAATCACTTTTTTGTCGTTGCTTTTTAGGTGAACTGTAACAAAGAGCTGGTTTACACGTACTGCGCAGAGGAACAGCTGCTGCACACTGCTTTTTTGTTCAGGTGGGTTGTAAAGTCTCAGTATGTGTTCATTCTTAAATGACCAGAACATGGAGGGGCAGCCAATCAGAAGAAAGATGTTTTAAAGGATGGGCAAAGTGAACTAAAATAGCTTGTTTCTGAGCGTGGGTGAAGTGGGACCTACAGCAGCCAGAATACAATAAGTGACGGTTATTTTAAAGTGTGAATCATGCTAAGCTACAGTAACAAAATGGAAGAATAACAATTCAAGTCTGTAAATAAGGATAATAAATCTGCTGATTGTCTCTTTCTCTGTGATTTCCAACTTAATTCACTGGCATTTGTTCACACTGGGAAGTGATGTTCACATTTAATGTAAAAATTGGTGTAATATAGCTCTGTGTTTGAATTTGATCTCTGACTCAGCAAGAAAGAAAAGACGTAGCTTCCCTTAAACCCGATTCCTGACTCCACGAGCAATCAGATCCCGACTGTGTTGGCCGTGTTAAACAGGCAAAGTTATTCCACCAAACTATATCTAACTGGTCTCTCCCCCACTTCAATTTCTGTTGCTCCTCAGTATGAAAATATCTGCTGCCACCTGTTGGCATCCACCCTACAAGCTCTGCATCAGAGTCCAGAGGAAGTTCTAACTACATGTGGGAAGGGCTACTGCTCATATTAATGAAAACATTATTGTATTTCTAACAGTCAACACAAAAGGTTTTATCCCGGCTATCATCACTGAGATACACTATTAATGCTACTGTATCAACCTTTTTACCTACTCCCCTAATATATAGTAATGAAGTGGACAAAGTATTATGGAAACTGAAATGTAATGCAGTAAACGTCTTAACAGCTTCCCTTTAAAACTAGAATTTGTAACATTAAAAAAACATTCAGTGTCCATAAAGTTTCATCAATGACTTTCAACAGCAGTGAGAATAAAAACTGAACATTATAACCTTCATGAGGGTTTTTGTGTCTGCATGGTTGCAATCTCGTTGAATCTGCCCTTGTCTTTCTGTTGCTAGAGGCGGTAAGGAGTTCTTGAGTTTTGATTTGGACACTATCTTTGACGTCAACTCGATAGTCTCCGAAGTCTTGTTGTAAGTAAGCCTTATGCTCTGTGTTGTAGAGACCTTTGTGAAACTTTAACTTTTGAACCCTTTAGGATCACATACATTCAGATGATCCACTGAGATTGAACCAGAACCAAAGTCACTCATTATTTTTTGTCTTTTGGTGAGCTTTGTTGGGGGAAAAAATGAAAGAAGGGAGCCAAACGTGTACTTCTGGCATTTAACTGAAGACGGCTTTTCTCTTCCAGCGCCATTCTACGTGATGAGATAAAGTATGTCCACACAGATGCTGACCTCCTCGCAATGGAAAAGGCAGCCAGAGGGAAGAAAGACATTGTGCTTGGTTATGTTTGCAGTCTGGGAACACAAGGTATGGGAAGAAGGACAGGAAGGATAGTAATTACTGTAAGGCTGGGCAGTTAATTCAAAAGGAATCAAAACTGACAATCATAATCTTGCCCGTGTCTGTTATTTTTGTTTCTTTGTTTTTCATTTCTGTCAATACTTACATAAACTATAAAACATACCGTTTGTGTTGTCACATGACTCAGAGCGTAATTCGAACACTGAGCCGACTGTAAAACTCCAGCAGACAGTGATTCTGCATTGCCCACAGGTGCGAGTGTTGTCCGTCTCTCTGTGTTAGCCCTGCGACAGGTCACCAGCCTGCGTATGTGTATGCATAATCATTCATCGATCAAAATTCAAAATCA